TTTCATCCCTATCCACTTAGCGTTTTACAATGTAGCTGTCAGAATCAATACGATACTTTCGAAGCAACTCACTCCAGAATTTCGTCAGTTACTTGTAAAGTAACAACTTCATCTTTTCCTCTTTTAGAGTTACTGATGGTCCTAAACTCATGAAACCAAGGAGAGGTAAGCGTGAGGTCAGCAAACTCATCCCACAGATAACAACCTTGCATGAAAAATGCTAACCAGAAATAAAATTTTAACCGTTTAACTATGTCTTGTGAGTAAGAGGATCTTCATTTATGTGAATTATAACGCTTTATATTAAAAAAGAGATTCTTAGGACCTCAAAAGGCAGATTCTCTCTCTAACAACCACATCAACAATTAATATAAATAAATGAAACGTTTGGACAATGTAGGATACCGAAATAACGAGTTAGTTACCAACAGAAAAGAGGTTATAAGTGTAAGCCGTTGAATCCATGCTGGACCTGAAATATTAAATTCTGGGGAGATGCTGTTGTACTCCGATCACGAAGAGGAAAATGCTTCACACACTCAGGGAGGTGCTCTGATGCTGTCCAAAGAAGCATGAAATGCAGTTGGAAATCTCACAGATCTGGAATCATCAAAACACCGTTCAAAACAAAGGAGGGAATCACGATAAATGTTATTCAGTTTTGCACCTACTGATGATTCCAACGACGATAAGAAAGATCAGTTCTACAAGATAATGCAATCGATCATAATGAAGTACTTAGGAAGGGATCTGATCATTCTGATGGGAGGTCTAAATGAAAAAGTCGGAATTGACAACACCTGATATGAATATATCATGGGAAAACATGGACTGACTGGGATAAACCAATGAAAATGGGAAGAGATTTGCAAATCTATGTGCATTCATCAAAATGGTTATAGGTGGCACAACATTCCCACACAAACACATGCACAGAGAACCAGATGGAGAAGCTCTAAAATATATGGAATCTTCCACGTACCTAGACAGCATCATAGATGTGAAGGCGAAGATTGGCAAAACAAGGACCGCATTCCTACAACTGAAGAACATATGAAACTCAAAACAACTGTCAACCAATATCTTCAATACGAACGCCAAGGCAGTACTACTGTATGGACCTGAATCTTCTAGAACTACCGCAATCATTATCAAAACAGTACAAGTATTTATAAACAATTGTTTACACAATATACTCTACGTTCATTGACCAGAAACCTTCAACAACAACCTACTGTGGGAGAGAATATATCAGCTTTTTTCTCAGCAGGAAATTCGCAAAAGACGTTACATACATTAAGGGAATCACCATATCGCATCACGAGATAAGCTCTAACTTGGGATCCTGAGGGGAAACAGTAAACAGTTAGGCCAGAAAACACATTGCGCCGAGAATTGAAGGCACACATGGGAAGGATGAATAGTTACTGGAAATATTTGGTAAAGACTGACTAAGGTAATGTTGGTAAACTGTCGATAGTCCTCCACGAAGGGTAAACGGCTTAAGTGAGTGTCGAGTCACTTTTGTAACATGTTAATATTGCTTACTGTGCATTCAAAAATAGTTCATCGCGAATCAATATTTTTTCCTAATTTAACCACCGCCTAAAACTCACGAGTGCTAAAATGCATCAACCGTTTGCGCAGCACCTTACATAGTACTGTGCTACTATAGAAAAATAGCTACATCTTCCTTAAACTATTAAGTATTCCAGCCTGAAACATTCATCGGTACAGTACGTAATTTACGAAGATCTCTCAACGTAACATGTGAATTAGTCTACTGTATATTAGAAAGCTAGTGTTATTCATTTTTGTCCTGTAAATGATTTACTCATATTACAAATGGCTGATAACATTACTGTATTTGAAAGCAAGAACACATAGCTAGACTACAATTTATGGATGAAACAATGAAAGTAAGGGCAGTAATCGTCGGATTTTGGCGTGAAATTCACTTATCTTTATGACATTTTGGCACTATCGTTACTATCACGTCCTTGTGAAAACTTTTATCTCAATATCTAACCTGAACTCCTAAATCAACATCTAAATCCTTATTCCTGACATCAACTAATATGCTTCTTTTAATTCTCCCAACCAGGCCGATATTCTCGATGTCACTTTAGCGTCCCTCAAAGGTCGTCCGATAATTGTAGTTCCACCGAACAAGGTTTAATTGTACATTGATATGTATTCCAAACCATAATTATGTGTATACATTGAGTGCTGAAGATAGCATATTTTTCCAGTTCTCCATTCAAATTTATCAAGCTTTACCTTATAACCAGCTCGGAAGCTTATGAACAAAAATTGTGCATATTCGGGTCTCAGCATATACGAAATTAGTTTCGATACATCGTTTGACTATTGAGTAAAGGTTTTATTATCAATTATCCGTTTCGATGTTGGATCTTAGAGCGGATCAGTGTTGTCCATTGACTTGCATTTCTCATTTTTAACATTTTCTTTGTATTACGGAATACTTCATTAATTGTCTTAGTACTGCTTCACTCAATTAAGTGACTTACTTGGTAGTAAATTGTACTTTAATACCAAAAAAACGCAAAAAAACAAGTAGAAAGTCTTTCATTGTGCCTTAAGACCACCTTAAAAAGGAAAACGTGTACATGTGAAATTACTTCATAAACTGTTTAAAGGCGAGTGACAAATCCGGAGTGATAATCAGCTGAATGTTTGTGACTCAAGTAAGTCTCTTATACGTCAGTCTAAAGAAAAGTTGTCTAGCGATTTTCAATGAAACTGATATCCGAAAATGTCTCCAGTCACTTAACTCATCCCTAAGTTTGGGATTTGATAAAAACCTAAACTTCGTTTTTAAAAAGTGTGCTGACTTTCTGTGCTATTCATTCACTAGCAACTCTAACAGACCCTTCTCATCTAATCCTGTATCCAAAATACGGGTCACCAAATGTAGCGTGGCGTCGAGTTGAGATTATAGGAATAACCCTACACCGTATCGGTTCTTGACTGTGCGGCTAGTCGCGGAAGCGTACGGGTAACCGTACTCGGCGACCGGAACGTGAGACGGCAGTCTCGTTCGTATTTCGTGAGCCTGCAATCTCATCCGAGGTCAGAGGCGGCGTGGTCTGCTGATCTGGACGTGAGACTGTCGTCTCCTCCGTAGAAGGTGCAGATGACGCGTGCTGTTGACCGGGACGTGAGAATGAGGTCTCAGATGCATCTAGCGTGGGACCTGAAGAAGATTTAAGGATCCCGCTAGGTTTGATAGGTCTAGCATTGAATCTCAGGGTGTCAGATATGGCACTGTCATCGACGTGTGCTGGTTTGAGACGATCAAAGCTGACGATCTCGACGCGTCCATATCGATCAACCTTGAAGGTCTTTTCGTGACGAGCGATCACGTGAAAAGGGCCTTCGTAAGGTTGTTGCCAAGGTTTGCGTACCGAATCTACTCGTACAAAAACATGTGAACAGGTAGATAACTCTCGAGGGAGAGCGACCTGTCGATGCTGTATTCGAGTTGACACCGGAGACAGCGTTCGCATAAATGCAGACAGTCGATGGACGTAGTCTGATTTACCGAAATTAGGTCTGCTCCGTGGTGTGAAGAATTCTGCGGGCAGACGCAATGTCGTGCCGTATACAAGCTCAGTGGCGGAACATTGGATATCTGCCTTCAGGCTCGTTCTGATGCCTAAGAGAACGAGCGGTAAGGTTTCGTGCCAGTTGCCGTTTTCGTGTGCTCGTAGAACACTTTTAAGTTGGCAGTGAAACCGTTCAACTTAACCATTTGGTGCTGGGTGGTAGACGGATATGCTTATGCGTATGCATTCCGTACCAAGCAGCCGGGTCAGCGAGGAGAATCGTTAATAGGGTAACATTTCTCGAATAAAGCGTGGAATTCATCATCACGCGAATAAAAAGTGACAAGGGTTCGGTACACATACGTGTGAGTCTATTATATTAATACTATTCTTATCGTTATCCGTCATGTCGCGTATATTATATATTAAAAAATATGAAAATATACGACAGGCGTGGATAGATAAATCATAGACTCACCGAATTGGGTTCTTTGGAAGATTTGATCAGAAGTTGAGGCGTGTTCCAAAATACGGGTCACCAATTTTAGCGTGGCGTCGAGTTGAGATTAACTGTGAACACCGCTACCAAGAAACACGTGCCAGATAAATCAGAAGGCGAGGATCGAACGTAACCAGATTTATTTCGTTGGCGATCTCGTGGTATTGAACGGATACCGAGATCGTGCCAAGGAATGGTACAAGTGAAAGCAGAAGAAAGGAGTACGTGCGAACAGTACCAAAAACCGCGAAACAATGATGGAAGGTGATGGAAGCACAAAATGGCTATAATTAGCACAGTTAAACAAAAGCACATTAAAACAAACACTGGTACAGTTGGTTATAATAATAATTGTTTTTATTAAACCAGTCGTGTTCTCGTGATAAACGTGAGTCACTACAAAGTCATGCAAAGGTATAGTAGTACTATCATACCTTATCTGGTGATTATACCATGTGACGAATAGGTTGTTAAAGCTGACTTAATCAAAAACCTATGTTCTTAAACATGTTTCTGATTAAAATGTTGTGCCAGTGCAAATCTTCTTTAAAACACATTTCATTTGATTCCAGGTAGTTCATTCACTTAACTTATGTATATAGGTATTTAGTTACCAAGTTCTTTCACTTTTTTTCCTTTTTGTAAAAGAAACTTTTTGAAATACCTTGTGATGAGAATTCTATGTTGCACCAAAAACATAATGTTGAACAAAACCACTAATTATAATAAATATAGCCTACAAACTTATTCATAATGAAGTCGTAATTTACAGTACTTCAAAGAGAATCGGCGTCGTTTAGATCAGAGATCAAACGTTCAATTAGCATATCATGTGTTTATATGGCATTAAACTTTTTAAGCTTTTCACTACTCGTTTTACTGCATCACTCGATCAGAAATCAGCTGATTACAAGGTTGTAGTTAGTCGCGCGATGGTGCTTCTATTGCAAACGACAAAGTTTCCGGTGTTGGTCTATCGTGGTCTGCTCCTCTTTTTTCTGGGCATATGTTTTTGTTGGGTTTCCGAAGCACTACACAACATAAAGGGGGAATTTACGGCTTCTAAGATTTCATTTTACACAGAAAGTGCTGCGAAATTTTGGATATCTTTCTGTTGTGGCGTTGCCTCAGGTATGTAATATTTCTCAGAATTATAGTAAATTTTCAGTCACAGTAGGGCTTTTATCTCCATGTGTTGACTCTAAACTTGGTGCTTTCGATGCTTATAATAAGGAGTGGTCATCGGTTCTGCGGTGTGCTGCTCTGTTCTTCGGTTTTAGCCATGCAACCGCTAGAATAGATTTCGCCACATATTCACAGCTATCACTAACAGCAATTGGACTATCAATTGCACTGTGGTGGGTATTTGACAGATCTCTTGTTGGATTTGTCTTTGGAATGGCAGTCGCATTGCTTGCTACATTTATTTTTCAATCATTTGTTTGGAAGCAGCTCTACAGGTAACTTGTTACGAATATAATGGACAACTATATAGATATTCTCACCCCATGATGGCTGCTTGGTTGCCTTGTCTTTTCTTCTCGGGTGGTGTCGTTATTGTCCTGGTTGGCCGACAATTAGCGAAACCTGATGTTATGGAGCTGATGCAAAGGAAAGTCAAATAATTTCCAATCTTCAAATTCCATACCAATCATAAACTTCCTTTCCAAACCACTGTACATAAAGTTCAAACATGTATAGAAAAAATTAGTTCTTCCGTATGCATTTTATATACCCATAAGCTTAATATAACCTCATGACGTTTTTGGGTTTCTTTGTTTGTACTCTGAATGCAGTTTATTTTATCATTAACATCAAATATACCTCAGTTTACAAATGTAAGTCGCAGTTTTGGACTGTGTTGTATCCAACGTCTAAGAAATATATTTACTGATCTGTTCCTATATGTTTTAATAAAGTTTTGTTAGTTTCTGCATCTTATGTAACTCAGTCCGTTGTGTCCTAATCCAGTATATCCAAGTAAAACCCCTTCTTGAGAACTCTTTTTGTCTTCATTAATCTGAATCTCATGAAAGTTGATGTCAAGATCTCACATAAAACTACGATTTACAATAAGTTTATGTAGATTTCCCTTAGATTCACCCCTATTTTCTTCATATATATCTGATTGTCAGTACTTCACTAGTAAATATACGGCATATTAACCCTTGTTTATTGTTCAGATGTTTTCAAAGATCCGATTTTCCCTGTTGAGCTGTTAGCATTTGTCCAAGTAGTTTATCATCGTTAAGCAGTCGGGAAATAATGTAATCCTAAGTTGAGTTAGTTAAGTCGTGATATCCGAATTTTAATGCAATAGCTTTAAGTATTATTTGTCTCAGTGGGAGGGGGGACGATATCATATGTTAACACTGAAGTATTGTTAGAGATACTAAATCCTAATATAAGACTCACATTCTAAGATATAATGGGGGAAGTATATCTGTGCATTTCAGCTTCTGCTTTTAAGAGAAGCTTAACAGTCTCTCTACGAACGTAGTACAAACTATTTGGACATCCTTGATTGCATCATCACCCCTCAATTAACACAAACCAGTTACTTGTATGTGATATTTTAGATTAAAAGTTAAGTAGGTGGAGTATAAGATCCTGAACATGCTTCTGTCAAAGCATTGTAATGCTTTCTGAAGTAGCCAAGTCTAGTGAATACTGTATAAAAATAAAGTCAAATTATTTCGCTTTCGAATTTCCACATCAGCTTATCGATATTTGAGAGCTCTTACTAAAATGAGTTGTGCTATTCTCATCACGCTATGCTTATTTAGTTATTTGAACACATAAACATTGGTACAAAGGGGAACCGAATACATCTGCGACACACAAGTCACTTGATTTGTGTATGGGCTATGATACTGCCCGGGTACCCAAACCAAAGCAGGTGGTTTCCTTAGGGCACCACACCCCGAGCTTTTGACCTGAAGGTCTAATCCACAAGACAGTGGAGTAACGTAAAGAGATGCAGTCCGATGGTAGTTGGTGACCAACAATAGGTTCACATGTTATTTGTTCCTTCAGGATCCTGGAGCTCATTTGCACCATTGGTTTGGAATCAGGGTTTACCAAATCCCCTAGATGGATTCACCAACCCGGTTAAAGCGCCAGACATTTGCTTTTTGTCCTGTCAATTTGGTAAACAACATCCCCTCCACGAGAAGGTAGTGAGTAAGACCTCCCTGGCAGTGGTTGCACGCACGTGGCCATATGAGAGTTATGACTTGACGTACGTTTTCCAAAATGCATTGGCATGCTGATAAATTAAGAGAAAAAAGCAAGCTCATATGTCCGCATTTCATTAATCTAGGTATGTCAACGAACTAATTGGCTTGAAGTAAACTTCACATTTTCTGGTAATATAAGCGTATCGTAGTCAGTAATCGCGGTCATGTTTTTGTCTATCATGACCCACTGCATTATACTTTACACGTCCATAGCATAATGGACTGGTATTTCCATCGCAGGAAACTACAGAACGAAATACGCTTTCGATCATGGATTACAACAGGGTAAATAATAATTTCCGCTTCATTTTCGTTGGTTACCAGGTGCGAGGAACAAATTACGAACGTAAGTGGAGTTTATTCTCACTCAATAAATCAGATTACAGCGCGAAGCTCATTCTTTGACCATAGCTGATCCCGATCCGTAGCCTAAAACGTAACAATTCGTTAACTTAGAGCTGCTTATCCACTATGATTATATCAATTTTTTAATGATATATCATTTCCTAACCAAACACTTTTATGGTTAGCTAAAAAGTATTTCAAGGTCGCCTATACATTTTACCTTCACCTATTGGTTTTATATTCCAGTATGAAATCGGTTTTATTCTCAATTTCCAATTGTAATTAGTGCAATATCGAGATTATATTTTCCAATGTAGCATTATTTCAGGTCAATATTAATCAAGTGTAAATTTTGCTTAGATGTGAACTTTCTCAAATTATAACGATTATACTCTCTTTAGTTTGAGCACACTTCGTATGTTTATTACAACAACTTTGTTTATCTTTCCATGTATATAATATTTATTAATTAATAATCAATGATGTCTAAAATCGGTACATAAATAAGTGTATTCGATTTAACGGTGCCATGTTTTTTTGGAAAATCAATAAATCGTCATCTTTTATTACCAATCTTTGTGTTTTCACTTCACGTTGTGAAGTTTGTAGTGGTTCTCGTTTTCACGTATAAACATTAAGACCATGGATATTAGTTATAGTAAGGGGAATAAAGAAGAATGTTTAGAAAATAATGATAATAATAATTTTATATTCTGAAAAATAATAATTACAGAATTCACGCCAGTTTACAGGCATGATCAATTTGATATAAATAATAACGTTAGACGTGCAGAACAAACATGTGATAAAAGAAAGTTTTAAGTATACTAGTTCAGTAGTTGTTTAAGTAGTACATATATTACAGCGATCCAATGCATCAGCCGGGAATTTTTAATATTTCTTAAATGGACAGCCTGTTGATTTATGGACGGTGTAATTAAGGTCAATTCGTGTGCCAGATCGAAATAATGATAATCATCTACAACTAGAGAAATTAAAACGAAAACAGAGAGCACGGAACAACAAAAAAGTAATTACCAAAATATATCAATCCGGTCTACCTAAATGCGCGTGTCATGTGACACAGTGATATACTGTTTGTGTTATTCAAATTAGTTAAAGTTGCTAGGGGTGGTGTTGACATATTGACAGCAAGTGGGTGGTTTTACTAAGGGGATTCACTAATAAAGATCGCTAAACATTTAAGGTTCCTAAAATATCACTTGTGGAATGAGATACACTTAAAGGCACTAGACCATTCAATGCATTTTCAGAGGAGCAGTATGCATCGATGGAGCGAACAAACAATGAGAGTGATTTTATCGTACGAATAGATTTTGGTAGGTTATTCCAGAGTCTAAAAAATTTACAGGTAAAGTAAGTCATATAAAGAAATGATTTTGAATAAGTTTGTTTCACTAGTGCCAAGGAATTGCGGATGTCATAATGAGAGGTTTCTGCATATTGAATCGCGTGATCGGAAGTAAACTAAAGTTTATGAAGTAGTTTGAAGAAAAAGATAAGATTTAGTTTGAGTCTCGTCCTCCATTAAGGGTCTAGCCCGAGTTTATTACATCTAGAATTATAAGTTAAGGTACAATCAGCTCCAAGAGTACGAAGTGTAAATCGTCTCTGTACTGATTCCAGCCTTAATTTATCCTTTATGAGCGCACTGCTAAGAACAAACGTGCAATATTCTAGAAGAGGTCGAGCACAAACTTTGTACATTAGAATACGTGACTCATTGTCGTAAAGGTCTCGAGTTATGTAACCTATTAGACGTTGAGACTTGGAGGTCTGTTTTAATATATGTTCTGCAAACGACAAGTCTTGGGAATATCTAAGTCTACTACTGTATGTAACCTAGATAACACTTCTCCATTTATGGTAATGTCTAGGTTGAGTGATGTATCGCCGAAGCATATCCATCCACATTTAGCCGTATTAAGCTCCAGTTGCCATTTTAAGCACCACTGTGCTACCTTGTTAAGCTCCATGCTGATGCAGTTTTGCATATTTTTCAGGTCATGTGGAGAAAATGAATATACTACTTTAAGATCATCTGCATATAGAAGGGGCTTACCGACACAAAAACTTTCACAAATATCATTGATAGACACTAAAAAGAGCAAAGGACCTACGACACTCCCTTGTATTACACCACTTCCAACAGGTACAGCGTTAGACAATGAAGAGTTAATTTTAACTATTTGATGTCGATTGCTGAGAAAGGAATCAAGCCAAGCAAGCAAAGGATTTTGAACCCCATAAGATGCGAGCTTACCTATAAGAAGTTGGTGGCTAACCATGTCAAAGGCTTTAGAAATGTCCAGATATAGCACTAAGACTAGATATCCTTGGCTACGTAGAGAATAGACTAAATTAAAGAAGTCAAAATGATATGTCATGCAAGAACGATTTTTAAGAAATCCATGTTGAGTATCATTGGTAAATTTTCCAGCAAGTAAATAGTTGGAAAGTTCATCACTTATAATTTTTTCCATAATCCTAGAAATTACTGGAGTAATATTTATTGGCCGGTAATTGTTCATGTCAGTCTTATCTCCAGATTTGTAACGTGGTATGATGTAAGCGGTTTTCCAACAGTAAGAGTAAGGACCGGTTTCCATAGAGAGAGTAAACAGCTTTAGAAGAAGAAGTGGAATATCTGGACCACCATATTTGTAGAGAAATGATGAAATCCCGTCTACTCCATGACCTTTCGAAAGCTTAAGGGTATTTATAGCCTTATTAATTTTTATGCATGTGAAGGAGATAGATTTTATTGAGTTGCTAGTCACACACATAACTCTTGAAGCATAGCCACTTATGTTTAACCAGTCTGAAAGTTTAATCAATGAATGCAGGAGGTCCCAGTCAGCATGCTTATAGTCTCTATATTGACAGGATTTTGAATGGGTGGGTTATAAGAGAGATAGATAGGGAGATCGCAAACTACTATCTTATGGTCATTGCATTCAAATTCATCATACATTTTTACAGATAGTGGGATAACATCTCTACTAAATATTAGATCGAGT